GTGAGCTCATCTCTGTTGGACTCCGATTGCTCCTCATCGAAATCTACTTCGGGTTCCGATCTGTCCTCGATCCATTCCTGGTCGTGATCATCCACTATGTCAATGTCTTGTGAGACTGTTATGCTCTCTAGACCTACCACTTCTTCCACTATCTTTTTCAGATCTATCTTGTCTACTACATAGTCGTCACCGTAACAGTTGTATTTCTTTCTAGGTCTTTTCCCGTCGCCTTGTCGAGTCTGCATCGTGAACGGGAGATCTGGATCCATATTTTTGGGAACCTCAGTCTGTTCGGGATCCTGCCAATCTTCCTCCGCGTAAGGTAAGGTTTCATCATCCGCTTCTATCACCTCATTTGGATCCAGGTCCAGTGGTGTATTCGTTCCCTCCTCTATTACCTCATTTCCATCATTCTTCTCCCTGGTGCCTTTCTCGTTGACCTCGCAAGCAGGATCCATCATCAGGTAATCCCCTTTTTCCATATCTGCAGGTATACACCAGTCCTCTGTCGATGGATTGTGTGGCTTGATGTTTTCGTAGTGGGCGGCTCGGCCTGTACTCAGTCTGTAAAAGCGTCCCTCCTGGTGCACCTCTGTAATCATGAAGGGTCCCCTCCACTTCTTTAGGAGCTTCTTCGTCGCTTTCGGTGGTATAACGTTCTGAAACACCCATACGTAGTCTCCCACCGAGTAAGCTTTTGCACCAGCTGCTTTCTTGTCGAATCTTTTCCTTTGCCTTGCTTGTGCTTGCTGAGTATTTCGTCTGCACAGATCGTTCAACTCCTGTTGACGTCTGATCACATCCCTTACGTAAACCTGTGGAGATGTTTTCTTTCCCTCATACTCTGATTAGAAGAATGTCAAGGGTAAAGACTTCTCGTGTCCCGTCAGCATCATGTGTGGACAGACTCCAGTGGTGGAGTGTTGCGTGCTATTATAAGCTCCCATCACCTGTGGAAGGTATCTGTCCCAATCGGTCATGTACCTGGAACAATATACCCTCAGCATCGACACTAGCGTCCTATTCTGTCTTTCCACCAAGCCATTCGTCTGAGGATGGTATGTCGTGGAGTGAGCCTGAGCGACCTGTGACCGTCTCATAAGCTCTATCGTAAGCTCGCCTACGAAAGCTGTTCCATTGTCCGATTGAAATGTCATTGGACACCCATGTCTTGCTATCCACGTATTGATCAGGTGGTCGCATGTCTCTTCCGCCGAGGCCGTTATGCAGGGCACGGCCTCTGCATACTTCGTGAAGTGATCTATCATGACCAAGACTTGACTATAACCGCTGTCTGTCATGCATATCTTCTGGTGATCTATCTGCACCACCTCGTTGAATTCAGACGACTCAATTGATTGTAACGGAAATCGTAATTTCCTTGGGTCCTTTACCTGTTGGCATGACAAGCACGCTGTTACCCATTTCTCACATGCCTTTTTCATTCCAGGCCACTCAAAGCGCTTCAGTATCCTCTGATACACTTTGTCGATCCCTTGATGGCCCATCTGATCATGCGACCTGAATAATAATTCTGTTTGATAGAGTTGCGGCAACACTATCGCGTTAAACTTGTATAAGACTTTGTCTTCTTCTCTTCTCTTGCAAGCCACAATCCCGTCCTTGTTCAAGTATAATCTCCCTTCCTTCTGCATGAAGTATTGTCTCAGGATGCGATAACTATCTTCCTCGAGGTCCCCTTTATCCGGAGAACCATTCTCGATCCACCTTTTCAGGTTGCTTGTCATGCGATCATTTCTTTGCGCCCTCAGAAGGTCCGAGAGTCTGTATCTCGCCTTCAAGTATGTCTTCATGACCCTCATTTGACTATTCAGCTCGTTGGGTTGATGTGTGTCTTCCTCCATCTTAACGCACCAAATCTTCGCCAACGGTTGTGTCTCTTGTTCAAACGGCAGAAAATCAGTCCTGACTACCGCTTTCAGCGGCAATAGGCTTATCGAACGTTTCGATACCGCTATTGTCTCCAAGTCATCCGCTGCGTTGTCAAAGACTCTTTCGCTCGGTATCAGGTAGCGATCGCTGTCCGGATCCTGGTACACCTCTCTGTCCAGGTCTCTCGCCCGAGTTTCCACTAGTAGCGTGTGTATCGCCAGTTCTGACAGTTCTGATCCCGAGGTCGAATCCCTGTCTGAATAGGTGTTCATTCTTGAGCTTTCTGAATTATCATCCGTTGAAGGTGTTGTGCTGGAGACTGCACGCTCTTCCAGATCATGTCTGTACCTTCTTCGCATCCATCTGAACTCCCCGGACAAAACCTTGTTCTCTAGGTCCTGTTTCTCATCAGGAATTTTCTCGTCTATCTCGGACTCCCCGGACAAATTTTCTTGTGCCGGGTGTTGATCTTGTGATCTTTGATCTTTCTCCTTCTCCTTCTCCCCGGACAAATAGTCTTGCAGCAGATTTTGTTTTACAACTTCACCCTCTTCATCCCGGTCCACAAAGGTGACAGTTTTCTTTTGCTTGCCGCTCTCCTGTTCTTTTTGTCCGTAAGAAGTACTGGTTAAAATCTCTTGGGGTATTGAGGATACTAGTTGCTGAACTATTGTCCTACAATCCCTCTCGTTCTCTTCGTGTTGTCGTCTGGACGGCATGATCTTTACTTTCTCCCTGACTGTTAGCGATGCCACTGCTGCCGTCCACTCGGGGTCATCTCTGGTCACTTCTCTCTCTAACAATCCACCCAGCATCCGCATCACTTGTGGTGTGACTTGCACCGTTTTATCCAGTAATGAGAGGCTGTTTATATTCATGCGAGAGAGTTCTTGCTGGACCAGGTTCGAGCGCAGCAGCAAATCCAAAGGGATCGGGTCCCCCTTTGACAGGATCTTTATCTCAGCTGCTTTCTCTACAGGTAATTCAGGATGTTCTGGAATTGGATGTCCAGACTTATCCAACCATCTCGTTAAGGGAAGCGCTTCATAAGTTTCTTTGTCTAGAAACGAGAATCCCTCCTTTATTTCCGCCTGATTGGCTTGCTTCTGCTCCAACCTTTCATAGAACTCAATTTTCTTGCTGAGGCTATCAGCATTCTGGTGTTTCTCGCGCATCCTATGCTCGATTATCATATGGTAGCCATCCAACCTTACTATCCATCTACCAATATAACTCTGATCCATCGAGTAGGTTTTCAACCAGGATAACGCCCTGTTGTCCACGGGCAACTGAAGGGAGCGGGGAACTGTGCGAACTGAGCTCTAGGAATTCATACCTGAAAAGCAAAGAAAAACGATTGACCGATCCTCTTGTGGATTGGATCAAGCGATCCCGGTCTAACGAAAGGGGAACGGTTTCAGGCAGAATGGTTGAAACGAGAAGTCAAAAGACCTCAGAAGAGCGAAGAGAACCATTAGAAGTGGAAGTCAATACGGACCATGCCATGAATGACAACCAGGAAGTAAATGAACTGGAAGGGAGAGGCAGAAGGCTGGCGAGTGAATCTACCCCGGTAGAACAAGGCCATGATCTTGCCACTTCCACCGGGACATTGGATCGAGAAGAGATGTCGGAACTGTCCGACATCTCAACTGAGGTAGCGACAACGAGAAGATCTCCGACAGACAACACTATGATGGCAGGTGGAACTGGGAAACAAACAACGTCATCATCATTTTCAGAAAGAATGAAGAACACCTTCGGGAACATCTTTCCATTCAGCATGGGAGGAGGAGCAGGCAACGATGGTGAGTCCCAGGAGGAAGAAGATGAAGAGGAGCAAGGGGACTATGGATCTCAAGTCAGCCTCAATAGTTCAGTCCAAGAGAGTGAGGCACACGTCGGAAGAGAGACTGGAACCACGGACAAATTTGGTGTGGTGACAACAATAAGCAAAGAAGCAAACACACCAGGCCAGTCAAAAGACTTCACGATGAGGGCAAGTTCGGAGCCAGAACCTGGTGAGAATAGAACCAGAGGGCTCGGCAACGCGTCAAATGATCTTGAAACAAACAATGAAAAGACGTCGAGGCAGAGAGTCAAGGCCCGGATCTCGACAAGCACGAAGTTACCTGGGACCGACAGGGTTACACCACCACTAGTAACGCCACTGGTGGATAACGGGGCAGCACTAGAGGAAGCCTTAAACAACATAGTGGACAGTTTAGGAGAACAAAACGAGCAAATGTCAATAAGGATGAGTGAACTAGAAAGAGCAGTTCACATTGAGAGAGAAAGGCTGCGGGAAGAAATAAACCGCAACAGACAAGAAGTTGACAGGAGCGAAAGAGAGAACGGATGAACACATGACGAGGAACTTGTCGCGAATGACAAGAGAGGCGGAACAGAGGGAGTTACGCTTAAGAGCCGACATGGAGAAGTTGAGAATTCAGCAAGAGCAGTCTCTTGGGACTCTTGACACAAAGATAGATGCGATGATGGAGAGGCGAACCCAGGCTATCATGGATAGGTTGGACGGGCTACTAAGCAGCAAAAGTGGACCAAAAGATGGAGAACCGAATTCGGGAGGCCCCAGCAGGGAACCGAAGGTGAACTTCAATGAACATCAAAAGAGGAAGACGTATGGATCCACTAGAGGCAGGGGCAGTTCATCAGGCTATGCCACAAGGGATAATGGAGCATGGGGCCCGAACAATAGAGCAAGTTCAACGGGGAACAGACGAACCTCTAACGAACGACCAACGCAAGGCGCACAGGCGACTGGGAGAAGTGATTCCGGCAATAGGGGGCATACAAGCCCGAGGAGGGGTCACGTGGGCCAAGCGGGAAGTGCTCACGATGATTCGGATTGCAGGGATGCACCGCACACAGAGCCTTCGACGAGGTGTGAGGACACTCAAGCGGGACACTCAAGGGATGCTACGGCAATGGCCACAGCATTTGAACCCCTGAACAGGTCTCTGGAGACATTCCTGACGAGGTTATCTAAAACCAATGAACGCAGTGAAAAGTCCAGAAGAGTCTTTAAGAAGCCAAGATGCTACAAAGACGAAGCTGACGGCTGTATTGATACCTGGATAGAGGTAATGAAGCTGCATTTTGAGGAAGAGGACTTGTCTGAGAGACAGGAATTCAGCGCCCTCACCAGCAACTTAGAAGGGACGGCCCTGAACTGTGTCATGGCCAAGAAACAGTATCAACGTGACACTGCAGAGAAAATCTTCGAAATCTTGTTAAACCGTTTCGGATCAGGGGTGCAGGGGCACCAGGCGATGATGCGCTTCGAGAAACGGAGGCAGCGGGAAGATGAAACTATAGACAAGTTTCTCGATGATTTGGAAATGCTGAGAAGACGCAGCCAACCGGATGAGTCAAACCGAAGGATGAACCTGGCCGTAGCCTCAAAATTCATCGATGGTGTGAAAAACGATGAACTTCGTACGATGCTAGCAACGCATTACACACCACTATCAACTAATGCGCCAACACCGGAGGAGTTGAGGCTCAAATCGAAAGAGTATCTATTGTTGAAACCTCCTTCGAGATCTGGATATTACAAGAACAATTATGGCAATTTTAACAACGGACCAGCGAACCAAGGGAACAATTGATACAAACCGAGGGACGATATGGACAAGAGACGCTCTTGTGCTAATTGTAGTTCAACAGACCATCATGTGTCAGCATGCCCAGCTTATAAACAAGGCATGAAAGCAATAGGCTTTAGCCTCGAGGACGAAGATGCGTCAGAGTTGGAACATGAGGATTTCATGAGAGGAGTAATTGCGAAATTCGGCCCGAGGTGTTTCTTTTGCAACTTGGAAGGTCATTTTAAATCAGATTGTCCACAATTCTGGGATGCAGTGGCAGACATCAAGCATCCAAGGCATGAAGAAGCTTTGTCAGGAGTGAAAGCAAGCAAGGCTCGACTTTTGAACGAAGCAGAGGCACGCAGGAAGGACAAACCTCAAGAGCTGGCGGCAAAGTAAATGCAAGCGGTAACAGAAGAAGCACGTGAACCGGAACCAGCAACTGCGGCCGATGACTTCAAGATCGATTACAAGGCAGCCGCAAAGGACGCTCTAAATAGAGTACAACAGGAACTGGTGACGAAAGAGATCGAACAAAAAGTGAAACTTGAACTGGAGAATGAAAAGCTTCAGGAGCAACTGAATAGCTTCGAGGCAACGGAATTCGAGGAGACGAAAACACCAAGCAGCTTAGATATGAAACTTAAAGTGATCTCCGGTAAGAGGTTCGGCATGGCGCCGCAAGGAAAGAAGATACAGTCGATAATCTCAGTGGCTGGACACCAGGTAATAAGAAATCTGAGTGAACCATCAGAATTCACTTTAATGCATTTGGACACATATGCAGATTATCTGAGGCAGGTGGAGCCACGCACTGAGTCGAGAGCTGTGCGAGCACTACTAACGACTGGTGGCCCTCGCATGAAGAAACTTCATGGACGCTACTTGGAGGTCTATGGGCCGTATCAAATAATGCTGAACGTGGATGGAATCAGCATTTACACCAGGACTTACATAACAACAGATGATGACCAAATGGGGCAGATCTATTTGGGTGAAGAGGAACTCAAAGTCCGCAGGATAGGCCATGACGCCATGATGGAACAAGACGCGGTACATATTGGATATGAAGCAGATGTGACAGCACACCTGCTCGACACCAACGGAACAAAAATCGGAGTCACAGGGCTTCTGGACACAGGCGCGGTGGTGAGTGTGATGCCGATAAAGACCTGGGAAAGAATGGGCTTCACGCGGGAAGATCTGATTCCTACGAATCTCCGACTAGCCGCTGCAAATAGAGGAGCTATCTACGTAGCCGGAAGAACACCGGTGACGGTCCTTCATATGGGAGGACGGAACCTTTGGATGAGCTTTCTGGTGGTAGAGAATCTGGACGATGCCGACCAATTCATCTTGGGCAGAGATTTTGTCAGGAATTTTGACGTGATGATTGATTTGAACAACGGTCTGATACGGATTAGAAACCCGGACCGAAAGTATGTTAAGAGACCAATTAATAGGATAATAACAGACGAAAATAAGGTACCATTTTTTTTCGATAGAAAAGTAAAATTACAACCAGGACAAGCTGTGGTAGCGATTTTTAGAATGAGAAATTTAAATTCATTAAGTGATAGTAAACAGGTTTGCTTAGTACCGAATCCAAATAGTCAGAGTTCGGTGATTTTAGGCCGGAGCTTCTCGGTAACGCGAAACGGAATGTGTGTCAGTGTGTTGTTGAACACACTGGACACCACGGTTTCAATCCAGCGTGGAAAGAAGCTTGGTTACGCATTGCCGATGAGGACCGACTATGAAGAGACACAAAACTTGAAGAAATATAGTGTGAAAGACAGACGACGGCTTATCAAGCTGCTCGAATTTTCCGGAACGCCCCTCGTCATATGAATTAGAATCTGACAAACCGGTTTTGCCGGAGATAGAACATTTAAAAGGGAAAATAGGTGAGGGGGATTTCGAAAAATTGCGGGACCTCCTAAATCGGAACGCTGATGTATTTTCAAAACATAAGGCGGATATTGGTTGTTGTAATTTCGTCGAACACGAAATCGAACTAGAAGATGGCGCCGTACCCCATAGGGAAGGCGCAAGGCGAATGACGCCGCAGAAATCGGAAGCGTGCCGAGCAGAAATTGAAATGTTGCTTGAATACGACATGATAGAACCCTCGAAATCGCCGTGGGCTTGCGGGGTAGTAATGGCGAAAAAGAAAGGGGGGCAGCTTAGGTTTTGTTGCGACTTTCGTTACTTGAACGCGGTAACGATCAAAGATGCGTACCCGATACCGCGAATAGACGAGAGCCTATCTAAACTTGGTGATGCCAAGTTCTTCACCACACTGGACTTAGGTTCTGCCTTCTGGCAGGTCCCTCTGCGAAAGAAGGACAGAGAGAAAACCGGATTTGCCTGCGAATTGGGGTTGTACCAGTGGAAGAGGATGCCCTTCGGCTTGTGCAATGCAACAGCAACTTTTCAAAGGCTGATGGCTCAGGCTTTGACAGGAGTGACCAAAAAGTACGGGAATCTCTTGATGTGCTACGTGGATGACGTAGTCATAGCGACACCGAGCCTAGAGGATCACATTGATCGGCTCGATGAGGTCTTCGGATGTATGAAAAGAGCAGGCTTGAAATGCAAACCATCGAAATGTGAAATCCTTAGGGATTCGATCAAGTACCTGGGAAGAATGGTGGACAGGCATGGTGTGAGGCCAGATCCGGACGCAGTAGAGGCCGTGCTGACATGGAAGGCTCCGAGAACGGACACACAGCTAATGAGCTTCCTGGGGTTTGCCAATTACTACCGAGAATTCATTAAGGGATATGCGGACAAAGTGTATCCGATGCAGAAGCTGATGCGCAACAAAGGGAAGAAGTTCGAATGGAACGATGAAGCACAAGTTGCTTTCGAGAACATAAAGCGGGAACTGTGCGAAGCGCCAGTGCTGGGCATGCCTACAGAAAAGGGCATGTATGTTCTCGACACAGATGCATCGGTGGTGGCCATCTCAGGAATCTTGCATCAAGAGCAAGAATGGAACGGAAGAACAGTTCTCCGTCCCATTGCATACGGCAGCAAGGTCCTGTGTGACACAGAGATGAAATATGGCGCACCAAAAGCAGAAATGTTTGCAGTAGTCACCTTTGTGGAAAAGTACCGTGCATACTTGGGGAGCGCTCCCTTCAAGTTGCGCGTGGACAACAGGGCATTATCCTGGTTGAAAACCTACTCGATGGATCAGAGTTATATTGGTAGATGGATAGTAAGATTGGATGGCTACCATATGATAATCGAGCATAGGATGCGCGATAAACACCAGAATGCTGATAGCCTCAGCAAGAAAACTGAGTTCTATGAAAGGTTGGAGCAGAAGCAAGCCAATCAGGCGGAAATAAAGGAGGGATTCTCGTTTCTAGACAGAGAAACTTATGAAGAGCTTCCCTTAACGAGATGGTTGGATAAGTCTGGACATCCAATTCCAGGACATCCTGAATTAACTGTAGAGAAAGCAGCTGAGATAAAGATCCTGTCAAAGGGGGACCCGATCCCTTTGGATTTGCTGCTGCGCTCGAACCTGGTCCAGCAAGAACTCTCTCGCATGAATATAAACAGCCTCTCATTACTGGATAAAACGGTGCAAGTCACACCACAAGTGATGCGGATGCTGGGTGGATTGTTAGAGAGAGAAGTGACCAGAGATGACCCCGAGTGGACGGCAGCAGTGGCATCGCTAACAGTCAGGGAGAAAGTAAAGATCATGCCATCCAGACGACAACACGAAGAGAACGAGAGGGATTGTAGGACAATAGTTCAGCAACTAGTATCCTCAATACCCCAAGAGATTTTAACCAGTACTTCTTACGGACAGAAAGAACAGGAGAGCGGCAATCAAAAGAAAACTGTCACCTTTGTGGATCGGGAGGAAGAGGGTGAACTTGTAGAACAAAATCTGCTGCAGGACTGTTTGTCCGGGGAGAAGGATAAAGAGAAAGATCAAAGATCACAAGATCAACACCCGGGACAAGAAAATTTGTCCGGGGAGTCCGAGATAGACGAGAAAATTCCTGATGAGGAACAGGACCTAGAGAACAAGGTTTTGTCCGGGGAGTTCAGATGGATGCGAAGAAAGTACAGACACGATCTGGAGGAGCGTGCAGTATCCAGCATAACACCTTCGACGGATGATAATTCAGAAAGCTCAGGAAAGAACACCTATTCAGACAGGGATTCGACCTCGGGATCAGAACTGTCAGAACTGGCGATACACACGCTACTAGTGGAAACTCGGGCGAGAGACCTAGACAGAGAGGTGTACCAGGATCCGGACAGCGATCGCTACTTGATACCGAGCGAAAGAGTCTTTGACAACGCAGCGGATGACTTGGAGACAATAGCGGTATCGAAACGTTCGATAAGCCTATTGCCGCAGAAAGCGGTAGTCAGGACTGATCTTCTGCCGTTTGAACAAGAGACACAACCGTTGGCGAAGATTTGGTGCGTTAAGATGGAGGAAGACACACATCAACCCAACGAGCTGAATAGTCAGATGAGGGTCATGAAGACGTACTTGAAGGCGAGATACAGACTCTCGGACCTTCTGAGGGCGCAGAGAAATGATCGCATGACAAACAACCTGAAAAGGTGGATCGAGAATGGTTCTCCGGACAAAGGGGACCTCGAGGAAGATAGTTATCGCATCCTGAGACAATACTTCATGCAGAAGGAAGGGAGATTATATTTGAACAAGGACGGAATTGTGGCTTGCAAAAGAAGGAAGGAAGACAGAGTCCTGTACAAGTATAACGCGATAGTATTACCGCAACTCTATCAGACAGAACTATTATTCAGGTCACATGATCAGATGGGCCATCAGGGGATCGATAAAGTATATCAGAGGATCCTGAAGCGCTTTGAGTGGCCTGGGATGAAAAAGGCATGCGAGAAATGGGTGACAGCATGTCTGTCATGCCAACAGGTCAAGGATCCTAGGAAGTTGCGATTTCCTTTGCAATCGATCGAGTCGTCTGAATTCAATGAGGTGGTACAAATAGATCACCAAAAGATATGCATGACGGACAATGGTTACAATCAGGTGCTGGTCATGATAGATCATTTTACGAAGTATGCAGAGGCCGTGCCCTGCATAACTGCCTCGGCGGAAGAGACATGCGACCACCTGATTAATACATGGATAGCAAGACATGGTTGTCCGATGACGTTTCAATCGGACAATGGAACAGCTTTCGTAGGAGAGCTTACGAAAGAGCTTATGAGACGCTCACAGGTCGCTCAAGCTCACTCCACGACGTACCACCCTCAGACGAATGGTTTAGTGGAAAGACAGAATAGGACGTTAGTGTCGATGCTGAGAGTATACTGTTCCAGGTATATGACCGATTGGGACAGATACCTTCCACAGGTGATGGGGGCATATAACAGCACGCAACACTCCACCACTGGAGTCAGTCCGCACATGATGCTAACTGGACACGAAAAGTCTTTACCCTTAACCTTCTTCTACCCAGAATATGAGGGGAAAAAAACATCCCCACAGGTCTACGTGAGGGATGTGATCAGACGCCAACAGGAGTTGAACGACTTGTGTAGACGAAACACTCAGCAGGCACAGGCAAGGCAGAGGAAAAGATTCGACAAGAAAGCAGCTGGTGCAAAAGCTTACTCGGTGGGAGACTACGTATGGGTATTTCAGAACGTCATACCACCGAAAGGGACAAAGAAGCTTCTGAAGAAGTGGAGGGGACCCTTCATGATTACAGAGGTGCACCAAGAGGGACGCTTTTATAGACTGAGTACTGGCCGAGCCGCCCACTACGAGAACATCAAGCCACACAATCCATCGACAGAAGATTGGTGTATACCTGCAGACATGGAAGAAGGGGATTATCTAATGATGGACCCTGCTTGTGAGGTCAATGAAAAAGGCACCAGGGAGAAGAACGATTGAAACGAAGTCGTAGAGGAAGGTACGGATACACCGTTGGACCTGGATCCAAACGAACAGATCGAAGCGGACGATGAAACCTTACCCTACGCAGAAGAAGATTGGCAGGATCCCGAACAAACAGAGGTTCCCAAGAACTTGGAAGTAGACCTTCCGTTCACGATGCAGACTCGTCAGAAGGACGGGAGGAGACCAAGAAAGAAGTACAATCCTTACGGTGACGACTTTGTAGTGGATAGGATAGATCTAAAGAAAATAGTGGAGGAAGTAGTGGGTTTAGAGGAAATAACTGTGTCACAAGACATTGACATAGTCAATGATCACAACGATGAGTGGGTTGACGACTGGTCGAAACCGGAGGTAGAATTTGACGATGAGCAACAGCAGTCATATGAACAAGACCAGACGAACCTGCGTGTCCTAGAGTGGCTGAATGACATGACCTCGGATCCAGAGAAGACCAGCGTCAAGATTCAAGATGTAGATCGTGAAAGCATGAAATACATCAAGACTGAACGAGACGATCCTTACTGGGCTGCCCAGGAAGGACGTTTATTCATTCCAGCTTCAAATCTTGACTTAACACCCGGTATGCGATCGACGGGGACGCCGATGGATATTTTTGTCCGGGGAGTGGGGGTAGGACTTACCCACACTGAAAACTTGATAATAAAAAAATTGAGAGTAGCAAGAGAAACAGGAGACGTAGAAGCAGAAACAGGCGAAGAACCTAAGAAACCTGACATAGGCAGGGTAGTTGAGTCATATTTTAACTTACCAAATGAATATTCGAGTAACATAGTACTAACAGATAGTGATTTCATACTCACAAACAGAACATGTGCGATAGCGATCACCGCAGACATGAGTTTTAGGACGGCGCTAGCGGCGGATTTTAAGAGAGAATACAAAAACGTGGAATTCCTTTGGAAGCAAAGACCAGGGATAGGGGGCGTAGCAGCCTTACCCCCGGCGGTGTCGCAGATACCGGGAAAGTACTTATGCTTCTTGGTAACGAGGGCGACAGAGAAGCAGCACGTGGACCCGGAAAATCTAGTCTTGTCTTTGACGAGGCTGAGGGACTTCCTTGTGGAAATGGACGTGAAGGAACTAGGGGAAGACTGCATCCTCGGGAATTGTACGCGCTCGTACACGTGATATTCTCTGATACGAACATACAAGTGTATCTACATAAGAAATATTACTTAAGTATAGGCTGAGTGATGAGCGAGAGGGTGTTAGGCCAAAGACCAAGTTACATGTAATATGTGATATATGTGACATGTGTGTTATGTTATGTTATGTTATGTGTTATTATGTGTTAAGTTATTAAAATCATGGGTAAGTAGGGGTTAGTGACCATGAATAACTAAATAACGATTTTGGGAATAGATCCAAAGTTTGGACTGTCCAATCTTAGGTCGTATTCCAAAATTTTAGAAACCAATTGATTTTAATAAATTTTAGGATAAATATCTTTTTATCTGAACTGTCTTTAAGCAAATTTTAACGATGTATGTTAAGGTGAAATTGACAAGTGTGACATTCGTGATTTCTTTTCCAGATCCTGATTGATCATTTAAAATTACTCACTTGAGTCAAGTTATCAAATCGAATCAAATCAAATTTGGAAAGAACAAGTATGGACAATTTCAACCTGGAAGAATTGATGGACCTGGCAGAGGCATATGTGGGACCGATGGTAGATGCGATCTATCGTCGGCTGATCGAACGAGACTTCGCTCTGGAGGACCCAGAGGTGGTCATGTTGCTGACCGCCCTGATCAACATCTTGGGGCACGACAACCGTGGGGACCGCCCCACGGAAGTCCTGTTGATGGCAGCATATGGAGAAAGAGGAGTACTAGACCGCCCGAACATGAGAGTGATGAGGTGGAGAAACGGGGCTCTCTCAGGGAGTGACTTGGCGAATGAGCCTGGGTTGGGAAGTTCTAGGACTTACCAACCAGGTGAGATGCCAATGCCCTCTAAGCCTAAACCAGGGCTGACGAGAATGCATAGGGAGATGAACAGCGAGGCGACCTCGTCTGGTTCACCACTGAGAGCAGCTGTGCCACCAAAAAGGGCGAAAGTAACGCAGAAGGTTCAGACGAACCAAACCATGCAAGATCTGGACGAGATGAACGATCATCTGAAAAGAACGGAGAAGGAGTTGGACGATATGACGAAGACCATGCTGGCGATGGAGGAAGATCGAGACATGTGGAGAAAGTTGTTTGAAGACTGCAACAAAAAGCAGGGTCAAGAGATCGAACGCTTGAGGCAGGAATACAAAGAGCGATCGGATCAGGCGGCGTTGACCACAGCCGTGGAGAAAGTGATACCTGCAAGGGATATTCCTCGTGGGCAGTCCCCGATGGAGCTCTTGACACCTCGAGAAATGAGTCAAACAACGGAGACACGGCTTCCAGCAGAGACGAATCGAGTAACAATCCCGGATCCTAGTGACACCTTGGGTCATCCCGTCGTAGAACAGACAGTGAGAAGACTGATAGAGACAGCTGGACGATTGGTCGCTAACAAGAACGCACCAGGTTCCGGGGTGACTGCACCCTATGGAACGATTGACGATACGGGCAGAGTACAACTCTCCCAGACAGTAATCAGACAAGGGATAAGTGACGTGACGCCACTCAGGGGGAGTTCGAAAATCACAGAGAGAAAAGTAAGGAAGATGCCAGCGAAGAAAGTATCTCGCATAATAGACGTGCAGAAGAATAATCAATTGAAGTATAGTTTCACGGGAGTTCCGGAGACAGATCCGAGAGCCTGCTTCAATCGAGCTACCTGGAGCCCGGCTGTGAACCTGCAGCAACCACCACTCGGGACATCACACCTGATATTGGGAGATAGCTTAGTCCGAGTGCTAACGAATTTGAGGACCTCATGGGTCACCACGGTGATGGCCTTTGGAGGCGCGACAATTGCCCAATTATACCGGATGGTGGAGCTGATGAATCCCGGGAGGATACCCAGTGTGATGATATTAGTTGGGACGAATGATATCTCCAGAGGATCAGACGAGCAGGAAGCACTGTGGGAATCAATGATGGTGTGTTTGTTCACCACTCTCTGGCAGAAGTTCAGTTGCGCGGTACTGACCGTTTGCACGGTGCCAATGAATGCAAGAAACCTGACAGCATCAGGAAGAAGGCACAACGAGGGAGTCATGAGATGGAACAACATCTTAAGAAACCTAGCAAATCGAAATGCCGGAAGAATGATCCTTATGGACATTGAACACGAATTGAGAGCCATGGAGCAAGCCAGACTGACTTCGGATGGCATCCACTTTGACACGATCGAGGGACAAGCTTGGTTGAATCGAGTCTTCCAAGAACGGTTGGATGAGTTGGAAGCAGAACTCTCTGACACAGGAGTACTGAAGGAAGAGGGAAAGGTGAATGATACGGTGATCACCACTTTTGTGCCTCCTAACCTGGAAACGCGTTTGGGTACAGTCCCAGCCGCAATAAATTACCGGCAGCAAAGCTCCAGCGAACCAGGTCGAAGAACAGACGAGCAGTATCGGTTGGGAGAAGCACCGACGAGGAGGACAATTCATCCTAGGAGAAGGATAGGACCCGTCAACCAACCAAATGAAGGAGTAGCAGGCACGTCCAGATCAGACACTAGATCGGAGACAACGAGTAGCAGTCGAGAGGAGAGACCGAACAGAGGCTCATTGTTATGGTCGAGACCCATGCCGTCTCCCTGGCACATATACAAAGAAGAACTGATGAAGCTGGACCTGCAGAAAGTAAGCTTCATTGAGGATGCAAGGAGGATGCTAAATGGAGCGACGCTATCCGTCAGCAGATTATACTCAATAACCGGCGTAGACTGGTTGATAGCCGCTAGCATAAATTTCAGCTCCACGACAGCCTTAAGATTTGCTGACTTGGAGGGACTGCCCTCCAATAACACAATGGGACCTGTGAATGCAAGACCGTTGCAGGATGTCAGATTGAACCATGAGGAGAGGAATCGTGAGGAAAGGCCAGGAAGATTCCTGACGGCGAGAGCGCCAATTGGACAACACGTGAAGATATTCAGGCAACTGACGACACCACCTAGTCATGTGAAGGAAAGAGTGTACCCAAAACAAGTGAACCAAGATGGTGATGCCCAGAGATATGGCGGATTGACAGCAATAAAGAAAGATGAGAGCATCTTCGCCGCCTACGACAAAGCAGAGATGAGAAAGGCCAAAATCATGGTAGTAGCGAATTCAGAGTTCGTGTACACCTCTAAGTCTTTGTTTTGGCCGGAAGTCATAATGCTGGCCGCAGTTGACCTAGACCTATTGCAATCAGTGTCATTGGCTATAGGGGTACAAAGGCAGACAGAAATGAACCCGATAACGATTGTGTTTGCTGGCATTAATGACCATCTACATAGTAGAGGTTTTCTGAGCAGGCTCAGAGATCCTGCAACGGCAGAAAACGCAGTATGGCCAGCGATAAAAGACATCTTGGAGTCGATGGGTGAAGTGGTGGATGCGACGAAGGAGGGATCATTCAATAAAGTGACGTTGAAAGTAGTATTTGCGTTGTCTCCGGGATATGCACATCTCCCGGATGGACTGAAATTTGTGTATGCGATGGTAGCCTTACTTTCGGAAGGAAAATATGATGTAATCATATCAGCCCCGAATCGCATGATTGAAGTGGAGAACCTGAGGCCACTCAAGACTGAACTGCCTGCAGTATGGTCAGATATCTCAAACGCGATGAGAGGATTTAAGGACCACGCGCTACACATGTTGGTGTTGGACGAGGTGCTGGGGTTGGAACTGTCCAACTTCAGTAAACAACTCAAATTGAAACCAGGAATAGATGACGACCATCGAGTGATCACGGCAATGTCCAACGACTTGTGGTTCCGAGCAATGGAAGTGGCGAGTGAAGGCACGAGAAGAAAGAATTCACTGGAGACCAGAGCTCAACTGGAGGCGATGGTTCTGAAAACCAAGCCGGAAGCAAACCAGTGGCTACACCTAAATCCAAGAGTAGCGGCATTGGGTGCTGATGCTTTTCAGCAAGGCCCAGTGATGATCACTAGGATACACGCCTACTTGTTGAAGGAGGTGAACCTGGCGGAAAATGCCGGAGAAAAGACCGCGGAGTTCGTGAACAGAATGTGTCAAGTTACTCTGGAAACCTTCTTGATCCAGGAAGTGAGAGGACAGGAGGGATTTGAAAGGACAGACAGCATGCTAGAAGGGTTGGGAGCCGGATGGACCGCGTCCTTCTTGGCAAAAGTATACCCGAAAGTCTCGCACTATTTGATAAAGGAATTCCTCCAAGCAGTGGTGAAAGTATCTATAGTGGAATTAATAGCCTTGTTCGTGACATTTGGAGCGGAGAATTTCGTGAAAGGACCGGCGATACTGCTTACGGATGGAATACAGAACCTGAGACTAGATGGACTTCTGACATTGATCGCAATAACCCACGGAAACTTGGCAGGACTAATGAAACTGACACGTTGTCCAGAGCAGATGAAAGAGAAAGTGAGGAATCTGGATATGCAGAAATCCACGGACTCGTGGAACAAAATAAGAGACCTGAGACACACTCTGATCCAGTATCTCTTGCAGCAAAATCGCTTTGGAACAGGAGAAGACGAGACAATTGAAAAGGAAGAAGATGTTAGACGACATGTTGGAGGCATGCCGCTATTAACAGATTTGAGCTTAGCTATGAGGACTGATCCCTTGGCGCTGATCAGAGGAGTCACGGAGTTCGTGACAGTGATCTACGGACCAGCAGTCACCTTTGCGTTCCCTGACGTTAAAGTGGAAGCATATAGGAGGTCGGTGCTGCACCTGAACCTCATATCGGCAGTGGACGGTAGTACTCTGAACTGGTGTGAGCAGCAGGCACTGCGGGAGCTCATGAGTGAAGATCTGTTATTTGCGAAAATATCGGAGCCGGAAATGACGGTCATCAATTTTGACGATCACTTCTGTGACCGCATGGGAGAAGTAGAAAGAGGACACATCGAGGTGTTTCCAAAGCTTTGGAATCTAAGGCCCTACGACAAAACGAATGGTGAAATAACCAGAGTGCCTCGTCTCACAGCAGCATATCACAAGGTGAGAGAAGAGACGAAGGACTGGGGCGATTACAAGAAGCTACCGGAAGCAATCCCTGAATTCCCTCTGGTAAGAAGGATGTTGCTCGGAGCAGTCTCCGTAGTACAAACTCCTAGGTTGAGAGCATTCGAGACCAATGAAAGGAGAGTAGGGAATTTCTCGGCGACGATGGATACATACTTCGTGGGGAGAAATGCCGCCGTGTTACAGTACACACGATTTGCGCACACGGATCAAGCAACGAGAAGGCGAATAAGCAACGCTGCTACTCCCAAGCCTGGAAGATTTGATGAGGAGTGGGAGGCACTAGGCTTAGCTCCAATGAGGATGAGAGGCAGGACTGAATTGCCTGAAGCCTCAGTGATCCTGACCAGTGTGAGAAAAGAGATGAAGGTTCCGGGAGTATTGCAGACGAGAATCTTCCTAGCACCCTTTGGCTGCGAAGAAATCAAAGTGGTCCATGGAGAAGAGGAAGATAAGTCGGCCGGTACATTGCTCATACCGAGATTCCAGGAAGAAGCCGACAAAGGTGAACAAGGACCATCGGGCTCGAATAGAGACAAGTCAGAAGAAGATGACGGACAGGGGAGAAGCCGCCAGACTGAAGAACCCATGCAACAAGATCAAGCTGGTGGGGAAGACGACAGAGCATCGATAGGAGGAACCTCCAGCCTGGATTTCAACATCTTCAGTGATCTTGAAAACAATGCGGATACGTTGGAAACGACTGAGCTGGACGAAGGCACCTCGACACTGGAGCCTCCGTCAGCCTTTATGGAAATGAAACGGAATTTGCCGGAGAGCTGCTCTCCTGGCAATTCAAGAAATAAAGATCAGAGAATCCTCATGGAATCACCTCGGAGGAGAAGAATAGAGGCTTCAGCCAGAGTACCTTTCTTGGGAACGCTGCCCGAAGAAGAATGGGAAGTACATCACCGAGACCACGAGAGTAGGACGGGATGTAAGCTGGATAGAGTGGCGTTCATGGAAGAAGTCTGGACTGTGATTCAGAGCTATGGGACCCAGTCCATTCTCAAAACAGGTCTCAATCAACCCTTAATGAGGGAAGTACTTGACAAACTCGATGAGTGTGAAGGGAGACTGAGTGAGTTATTGATCGACTCAGCCACTGATGAGAGTGAAGCAAATTCTCCCATCAAGATGACACCGCAGGACAATGAAGGAGAGGTGATGTATCTGTCAAGAACCAGGAGAGGGACGATACGATCGAAAATGGTGATTGATAAAATCAACGCGATGAAAATGAAGTTAGGTAGCAGAGTGATACCGAGGAGGATTGGAAAGACGAAAGTAGATTCGGAAATATCGATGAAAGCTGGCAACTCAGCGAAAAGAAAACGAGTCGAGGAAGTCATGGATTTGGGGCAAGGTGATTATCAATTGTCTGGCACAGATAGAATATTAACTGATATAGCGATGGTGCCACCCATTCTCATGGCGGGAATAAAGTCAACCGGCTATAAATCCAAAAGGAGTGACCGCACTCTGACTGGAGCGACTTTAGAAATGGAAATACTCAGTCAATGTGGAGAGAGTAAAATGAGGGATTTCAAGCCATCTCCCATGAATCATGGAAAGGGAAGTGTTGCCGGACAACTAACACCAGTGGAGTACAACAGACTAACCGTGTCTGAAACAGTGTCGATAGATGAACCCACCGGTGGATACATGGAAATGTTGGAATATCGAAACTCGGCTAGAGGGCATGTAATGGCCCTGGAAGAAGAAAAAGCCATGGAGGGTTATCTAGAAGCAATGTTGCAAGGCACCACCCTCAAGCAGAAGGCGTACGGAACTTTGGCGTCGTCTGACGTACAGGCGGAAACAATCGAGCAGTTGGTGAGCCTTCCATGGAAAGCAGTAGTATTGAAGTACTTCGAAGAAGAAATGAGGACTACGCCGAGAATACATGCTCTCGTGGCAGTACCTTACGTAAGGACAGAGTTACAACTCAGGTTTGCCTGGTGCATGATGGGACTGACTCGCGAAGAATACGACTCGGAAGAAAGGAAGAGGTCAAAAGAAGAAAAGGTGTTCCTTATGACAAATCTGAGGGATCTGATAGTCCAGGAGGGAGCAGCAGTAGCGTGTGCGAAGCGGAGAGATGCTCTCTGTTTCATTCGATTCCTGATAGAGCAGATTTCAGTACCTGCATTAAGCAGTTGTGTTAGAATGTTGAGGGAAGGCGATGAACGAACGAAAGCCTTGTTCTTGCTGGCATTGCTGGACATGCAGCAAAGTAAACCGATGAGGGTGAACATGAAAGAACCTGAAGAACTGGAACCCATGAAAAAGATAGATGAGATCAGGAGATTCTCAAACAAGGAGCTGAGACTCACTAAAGAATCTATGGGAGCATTGCCGAAATCCAGTGAATACTGTGGACCGATCAAGAAGAAGTCATATAGCTACGTATCTGGGATCATAGGGATAGCGTACAATCCTTTCCTGAGTGAAGACATACGTGATTGCTTCTTTGATTATGAGCAGGCGGTGTTACTAAGATTCTGGACGTCCAGAATTGTAACAATCAAGAGCGTTAACCATCCACAGGCTAAATTGGGACTGGTCTTGGAAGAAGAGGTGACTGCACCTTCAGTACCAAAATCCGACAAGAGAGTGGAGTTTGGGTTGGGATTCTCAGACGAATTACTGAGAACGAGCCTGATGGCAGTGTGGGAATTGATGAAGCCATCATGGTGTCCTAGTCCCAACGCTGACTCAATATTACGTGCGACACAAGACGTACAGAGGGAACTGAGTGCAGACTGTAACCTGCGTGACCTTAACATCATATATAATGTGATGATAACAGCCTCTAAGAGCAACGGAGAAGATAAAGTGGAGTTGCCTGGCTGGGGACCAGAAGACTGGGTAAAACCTGGTAGCTGTCTGGCGGAAGTCTGTGGACTGGAGGGTCATGTTTGTGGAAGTTTAGACTGTGTGAAAACCCTGGAGAAGCAACATAAGCAATTGACAGTATTGTTTGGAAATGTAGTGATGAAAGCAAGAACGGAAACGGAACTGGTAGCAGATTGCCATGGAGGAACTGATGTGAATCTAGTGACTGCACTAGGATTCTACAGCATGTTTGGTTCTTTAGAGTCACTATTGAATCTAGAACAGAAACATGAGATGGTCACGGCCATCAGCGTAGAAGTATTCCCAGGAGTTCTGCAGACTGAGCAGAAATACATAGGAAAATGGAGGGAGGCAATTGAAACAGAAATGAACATCAGACACAGCGAAACTTATTGTAGACCAGCAGGAGCACGATATTTGGTGGGTTCAACATTGGCTCCAATGTGCAAGAGCAGGTATCCTGTACATTTCGTAGCTGTGGACGTGAAGAGTACAAGAACGATTGTGGATCAAGCCTTTTCAGTGCCGAAGTGCGTGAGGTTGGCAAGAATGTCTGAAAAGTCTTACGAGTTACTGTGTAAGATTTTCTCAGCAGTTCCAGAGAGAACCAAAGAAGAGTTGGAGTCAATATTGGGAAAGAAGTTCATGGGATATGTGAGCGGGAACTTCAGTGACTTTGAAAAACAGAAGCAGAGAGGATCAATTGTCACAGATTACAATGCAGTAGATGAGAATGATGAAATCCACCGAGTGATGATGGAAGTGGAACCATTGCTGGAAGCTTCGGGAAAACGTAATTGGAGGAGCATCATGTTGACGCATGATGAGTTTCCTTGCCGCTGCTTGTTGCAGACCTGGTGGTATCCCAAGCGTAGTAATCTGATGTTGATCTGGGACTCTGGAGAGCTGCTCTCCATGGGTTTACCAGATTCATCACAGCCCGTAACAATAGTGATAGTGGGAGTTATGATGGCGATACGATGGCTGGAAGCTCATGTGAGAGAAAACAATAGACAGGAGGCACCGACGAGAGAACAATTGCAGAAATTAGATTGTCTAAAAGATTTAGATCTTTTTGAGACAATGTGTAAAGTTCTGAATATTCCGATGGAAGTGAAGAAGATATGGGCGAGAAAACGATTGATGCCATGGTTCAGAGCTAACATGACTGCGTGGTTGTACGAGTATGCGAAAAAGCATATGTCGAAGCATGGCAGAGTGTACAGTGAATATCAGCTGGACATTGGGGCAGGAGCTTTCAAGCGAGCTTTCGTGACTCATCGGAATGCAGTGCCCACCGCTGTGAAAAGGATTTCCAGAACGAGTGAGCGTAGTGGAAATGAGAAGGCAGAGATGCTGAAAGAAGATCTGGAGAGAAACGTGACGTTGTGTCTCCACAACAGCTTCTGTAGAAACAGAGAATCCAATGTGGATCCCCTACCTTGTTGTAAACAGAGGGTAGAAGAGCAGAAGTGTTGGAGGACGGCTTCCAACAGCGTCAGGATAGTCAACGACGTGCTACAAGACACGGAAACCGAAAGCGCGGAGTCAGCATCGCAGGAGGAGGAAATGAAACATTGATGAATGGTCGAGAAAACAAGAGGCAACAAGAAAGAAAATTAGAAGAATTTAGAAGTTTTAGAGCTTCTAAACGACGAAAAAAGAAGAGAACAAAGAAATGATGAAGAAGAGTTAAAACTCAGAATTGTTTTATGTGTGTGAAAAACTCAAGTGAGAAACCAAGCAACCAAGTTGTAATTGAAAACTGAAACATTTTGTTGAGTTCTGAAATTGTTGCATTTATAAATTTGCATTTTGATTTTAGCAGAAGTGGCTTTAGAGACACTTATTATTTATTTAGAAAGGCTTAAGAAAAGAGTATATTTAAATATTCCAGCCTGCATGATTGTTTTTAATCACTTAAGAAAACTGATCACTTTGTGGTGACATGAAAGACTTGAGTAATCTCTTGAAGAGGGAGGTTGGTACATTGTTCTTTCTAACCACAAAGTTTCTTAGTTTTAGTATTCAGGACAATAAACAAGCAAGATTTCCGAAGGGAAGGAGCCTAGTAGGATAATTTTAGCTTGTTGGTTGGCAGGACTGTCCTGCAAGCCAACACCTTTTAAATCTAGGAGAAAAAGTTTCAATCGGGACATAGACACTGGAAGTCAGAAAACATGTTTTATCTTAGGTCATATTCTCAATGTGCAGATTAATGAAAGAATTTGAAGGCTATAGTGATGTAGTATGATGCCATTTATATTCTGCAGTGATTTGATATGACGTGGATAAAAGTAATTCCGTGCATTTTGTAAATTCTGTTCGATGGCACTGTAACCATTTTATGAACATTGCGCGATTCAATGAGGACATTGACCGGACTGTCCGGGGAGTATGTGACATTCGACCAGAATGGCCAAAATGCAGTCTCTGCAAAATTCGGGATTTTAGCAGCAAGCCTTCCGAATTGGCGATTTAGCACGAATAAGGACGTTATTTGAATGATTGGCCAAACGGTGAAGGCTAGAAGATTCTGGAATTCTAAATTTTAAAAATTCGAATTATGACGTCATATTTCTGAGAAACGTCAGAAACGGCCATTTTAGCTAAAATAGAAAAAGAAAACAGAACAACTTTTATCTGCGATTACGAACAGTACGAAATCGAGACTAAAAATCAACAAAGAACTACCGAACAGCAGAGGACGTTCCGAGTTGCAACTATTGTGCTGTTACAATAGTTGCAAGGCCGTTGCGAGCAACGGTGAAGGGTGAAAACCAGCCCTCCGAGTTAGTGTGAACTCGACATTAAGAAGCTTGATTCGCCGGATTCAGGAATCCGGAAGGGTCTCGGGACGTGAACTTTCATGAACTTATATTGAATTTTAGCATCCGTCATGTCCTGACTTGAATTTAACTGATATTTAGATTCGTTTTGACAGTAATGAGGAGCTAGAAGTAGGGGGGGAAGGGTTGATCCATCTTCGATGGAGATGATGATTTTTATCTACTGAACAAAAACAATAGTAATATAATAAGTAGTAGCCCTGTTTTTAGGAGTGACCTCGTGGTCTGGGGATACTGAGACCCAGCCATGAGCTCACTATTTTTGCATGTAATCTAGTTAATTTGGGTGTTTTGACCGAAGCCGGAGAGCAGTAACGTTTTTGTCGAC